TACATTTTGTATAGTTCGTATTGTAAAATGTCTATCTGGACAGAAGCATTAGTGTACGACAAACACAGCACTTTGGAAATGTAGAAGACCATCTGGATAAGATCAAGAAAAGTTGACTTCCAGACCAAATTTAAGCAAGCACTTAAAATCTTTCTCATTCCCTCCCCTTCCATTTTTAGAAAATGCTAAAATAGCCATCACCAGGCTAAAAAGATAAAGGCATATATGCTAGATATCTAATCCTAATTCTTGTGATGTGTTATCCGAGCCATACATTGCACATACGTCTGTTTATGTGGGCCAGTACTCTTGATAGGACAGTTACTATCCACAGAAGCTTAATTTAAATACAGTTCATGTGTCATCCCACAATGACACTCTAAGGTTGTACTTTTGTCGACAAAACTATACCTGCGTCTACACTACCGCTGAGTTCTGTCGACATAATGTCGACAGAACTCAGCAGTTTTGTCGACGCTGGTAAATCTCATTTTACGAGGCATAACACCTTCTGTCGACAGAGTTCTGTCAACAGAAGGTGTTATTGCCTGTAGGGTTGCTTCTATACTACAGGGTTTTGTCGACAAAGCAGCTTGCTTTGTCGACAGAACTGAATGTGTCTAGACGCTCTATGTCGACAGAAGTTTTGTCAACAGTATCTGTCGACAAAACTTCCGTCGACAAAACCCTGTAGTCTAAATGTACACTTAGGTAGAAGTTGATTTAGAGGCAATGTGGGAAAGGACTGTCAAAGTCCAAACTGTTTCTTTGTTGCTGTAGTGTATTAGTTGCTGTTTTAATTTTTTTTCCTGACTCTTTTCTATATATTCTTGAATCTGTTACTTTTTCACAAGGATTGTGCAACCCTTTCTCATAGCAGTGAGCATTTCTGTGAATAATTCCCCTGCGATCATAGTACTTGTATGCGTGGATGTTCACTGTCATGAACATAGATGAATCAGGACTTACATGTGCTTAATAAAGCTTCAGGAAATAAACATCTCATTTTCTGAAAATAATGAGTTTATTTGCTCAGGACATGGAATCAGGGCCAAAGGCCCCAATGTTTAGATTCAAAGTTTTGACGTTTTAGTTCAGACCTTTCTCTATAAAGACGTAGCAAATGCATTGTAAAGGCAAAGGTATGTCTACTAATTCTCTACTTTACCAATCCAGAAGTAAATACTCTGATAGGGAAGTGTTACTCCAAGTGCTGGCATTGTCTGATGCAATGATGTTACTTCTGGATTTCATTCCTCCAGCCAGTATTTGCTCTTTGCATAACAGCAAAATTGATCGACTACAGTTCTGGCTTACTCCACCTAATCCTGCAGTTACCTCTTATTCTTGGATGTACCTTCTCCATTTAGAGCAGGTTTTGTCTGTCCCTCAGATTGAATTAAATATCCTGAAAAAAAAACCCATAGGGTTAGAAAGAAAAGGCTTTATTTCAAAAAATAATAATTTGCAAAACCTTTGGCTTTCAAAAATATTTACAAGTAAAATTGTGAGGACCAAACCATGAGAGATGATTTGCACCCGCAACTCCTACTAAAAGGAACTGAGGGAACATTGTCCCAGATAACCTTAAATTCTGTATGTGAGCATATTTTATGCCTCTTCATGTTCATCCCCCAGTCGTTCCTTCTGTGTAAATGTAGTAGCTTTTAATTCCATTGTTACTTGACTAGTTAGAACGGAACAGTTGATTTACTCACACTAAAATCTCTGTTAACCTAATCACATTACAATGTCCATTTTTAATGCTGACCTCAGCTCCCATGAGACATACTCCCTAGAGATACATGTGCAATGCTAAAGTCTATCATGTACCACTTGTTTGTGGGAAATTATGTGGTTATAGCTTAGAATTTGCTTTCAAATAGGCCTTTTCAGGTATTTCAGGGGTGAAGAGAGGGCAGTTCCATACTAAAATTAATGAACTTCAGCAGATTCCTCAGACTGAAACTCTCTGCTGGTGAACTTTGGGAGGTCCTTGGTAATGATAATGGTGGCAAAACTCAAAAAGGCAGATAGGGTGAGAGGTGGAGTAAGGAGCTGTGTTGTAGCAAAGACAGAGAGAGGGAAGTGGTGCAACCAAGAAGATTGTGGCAAAAAATGAAAGCAGATATTGGACCCCATAAGATTGGCTTCTCTTGATGCGAGTATAAACACACAGGGATAAATAAGGGAAATACCATTGTTGTGTTCAGTTTCACAATTTCAAATGTGGCCAGTCTTAGAGGGGCCATGGTGATACACATGTGTATAAACTGTAGAGATTATAAACCAAAAGTGACACCTAAGATAAAAAAATCTGTAGCAATGTTTCATTGTTTTCTCCAGGAGAGTTGGTGGCTAGATTATCTAAATAGCATAGAAAAAATTTACTTCCAATTCAATTTAGCTTTAATTATAACATTAATTTATTAAATTAATAACATATTAAATATGTCACTGTACATGCAGAGGTTAAACTTCATTGCTGAACTGAGGGAGAGGCATTGTAATTGTTAGGGGAAAAGATCAATGCCATTTATGGAGCTCCTTCTGCCAGTGTACTTATAGTGTTCATGAAGTATTTAAATTCCTTTTGATTGCTAAATTGTGTAAATGGCCTTTGATTTCAAAGGAAGTCTGTATTTTCCTAAAAACAAGAAAGTCAGGAAATATAGTTGGAACAGTAAACAAGAAGAAGTGGGATCAAAGCATTAACAATATTCCGTGTCTCTTCAATTACAGCTAATAGTGTGAGGTAGTGCATGTACAGAGCTGTTTGCATATTTTCCTGCATTTTAAGATATTTCCCTTATAGAAGTACAGTTGCCAAGGAGTTTTTATAAATACTAACATATGTATGCCCATAGAATGAGTCTCAAAATACCTAAAATAAAAAATCAGACTGTTTCATAGTATATGGAATAAAAAAAGGCTGACATGTTTCCAACTCTCAGCAGAGTATCTTAGGAAAACATGTATGAATGGTGCTGATAAAGGTAAGAATGCAAAATTTTCAAATCTGGGCAGCCAAAGTTAAGCTCCTGAATATGCATTTCAGACAACTAGAGAAGTGAAACTTCTGATACCTATAGAGCAGAGTGTGAACTATACAGGAAAGCCAAGAGTCTACTCTAATTTCCAAAGGGGATTCAAAGAAACTCTAAAAAACACAAATGAAAGTTAAAAAAAATGACTTACCTTTTAACATAATACATTCTAGTATTGTTTACTCGGATGTGAACATAAAATATGTCACATCAGATTTAGATTCTATTTACCAGTGCATTGAGTAAACACTTTTGTTTAGTAGCAGATCTGTCCAATAGAAATATTGGATGAAAGGGCTAGGTTTTATTTTATGTTATGCTGTGATAGTTTCTTCTATACAAGGAGTTAATGAAGTGCCAACAATATATGTTTAGAATGAGCACATTAAGATATGCGTACACATCCAGCTAGTAGTTCTCAAGAGACACTGTGTAATTGGCAGTATATTTTAGGCCAAACAAACATTCTTCCAGAAGGAAGTTTAATCTATAAACAAGCAACAGTTGCTTAGCCCTTCAAAAGAGACTAAACCTAATACTTCAGTTCTGACAAGTTATTTCCTTGGAATACCGAAAGCTGTCATTGTGTGGATTTTTGATACTGAGTGAAATGTTTTATTACAACATGACTTTAAATTTAAAAAAAATCTTTGATTGTTAATTAGACATTCTTGGACTTCCAATGCCAACTTTGAATTGTGCACTCTTGACTCTTCTGTTTAGCAGATTTGTGGGAAATAAACAGCACACTATAGTATTTCTGATCTAATCTATAATAATGTAGATGATATCATGAGTTATAGCCAACAATAACTGTCGGAAAATACAGAAATAACTATTCCAAAATAGACAAGTTATGTCAAATTGATTCATTCAAACCAATTCAGAGAGAAGGAAGCTAGAATATTGCCTGATGGCCTAATTTTCTACCAGAAATTTCAGGAGATCCTGTGACTCTGTTCTTTTTCATTTCCACTTCTATGGTGTAGAGAAAAGAAGAACTGAATGAGAGGAAAATGTTGGAGTAGGATCTGAAAGTTGGCAAGGAACAATTTCAATCTGATAAGTTTAGAAAGTTTTGTGATGAGGTGAATGGTTCTGCACAAGTTTACACAGGCTGAGGATTTGGTTTTTAAGATCATGTTTAGTATGACATGCCCATTGTTCAATAAGATTTTCCAAATGGTTTAAAGAATTAATGTTTTATGAGAAAGGAGTCCAAAGTTTGAGTACTCCCTCATTAAGTTAAACCCATCCTTATGAATAGATAGGGTAACTATATATCCTGTTCTTAAAGGGACATTCCTATAATTAAGCCCTCTTGTAATTGTCCTGATCACTGTTCCCTCTAAGATTGTCCATCTATGAGTGGAGTGAGTTCCACATGAGCCTTAGACTTGCACTCAGGCCTGGAACTAACCACTATGGCTATGTCTAGACTACACCTCTCTGTCGACAGAGAGATATAGATTAGGCATGTCGAAATTGCTAATGAAGCAGGGATTTAAATATCCTGCACTTCATTAGCATATACATGGCCACTGCTTTTTTTAGAAACGGAGCTTTTTCAGGGCAGTCTAGACATGGATCTGTCGAAAATAAACCCTTTTTCGACAGATCCTGTTAACCTCATTTTTTGAGGAATACAGGATCTGTCGAAAAAGGGTTTATTTTCGACAGATCCATGTCTAGACTGCCGAGAGGGAGGGAGGGGTTTGAAAAAGCTCCGTTTCAAAAAAAAGTGGCGGTCATGTTTATGCTAATGAAGTGCGGGATATTTAAATCCCTGCTTCATTAGCAATTTCAACGTGCTTGATTTGCATCCCTCTGTCGGCAGAGGGATGCAGTCTAGACATATGTTTCTATGTCTAGAAAAGTTTATTTCTGACAACTGACAACTTCTGCTTTTCAGTCTGTCAATGAAATTAATTTCCTGTTGTATTTATCCTACAGGGCTCTATGAAAATTATCCAACCAATGCAGAACCAGAATGCTGTGATGTCAGATGGGGACTATTACCAGATAACCAATCCAAAGGGACTATAAAAAGAAGTGACTCAACCATGTGTCACAGGACATCGCTCACGGTTTCATCAGCATCAAGACTGTGTAATAGCAGACTTAAACTGTGTGTTCTTGTATTAATTCTCTTACATACAGTACTTACAGTCTCAGCAGCACAGAACTCAACAGGACTAGGCTTTGGAAGCATAACAACTTTGGAAGATAATTCAACTAACGAGGAATAAAAGAAAGGATACATGTCAAATGACAGACACACATCACGCCCATGTGTACTACAGTCAAATATAACAAGAGACTGGGTGCTTTTACCCTCAAATCACTTTTTGAAAGGCCTTCTGGGTAAAATTAAAAAGGATGGGCAACAATCCAAACAACAAGGACACATGAACACAGCTTTTTATTGACTAAAAGGCTGAATGGTGACTTAAATTTCTCACACCATTTTATACACTGTGTTTTAATGTTTGGAGTTTCTTTTTTGTTTGTTTTTTGCACTTGTTAATACAGGATTTTATTTTTGGGACGGTTTCTCAAAGCTAAACTAAGTCTTTTCACTGTCGATATATTTCTATTCATTGTGTGTGTTCATCTGATAGTTCTGTCTTTTATGTCCTGTCAGTTTCTATTAGAGGAATGACTGCTATGATTCCATGGCATAAAAAAAGCAACAAAAACAAAATAAAAAACAACAAAAACACAAAAAAATACAAAAAAACCCTACATACCCTACAACCACCAACCTAACTCCTTTTTACCTGTGGAAACCATTCTCTTCCGTCCTCCTCCCCCATCTCCCTTAAGCAGACAACATCCATTTGCTTCTGTCTGTGTAATCACAATGAATGGGTACACATGATTCTGGTGTGCCTCTGCCACTGTTGCACAAACCAGCTGACTGAGCAAACCCAAATGGAGCATGAGAGGGTTCTTTTTAGCTGAACAAACAAGTGCTCTCCTTAGAAGGTGGGATCGGACAGTTAACAAATTTTTATGTATAGAAATCTATAACAAACTGTTGCTCCAATTCCCATTTTAAAGAAGTCCAGTCCTTTCTCGCTGGTCAGTTGAACAGGAGCAACCTTTTTAGATACAGTAGGGGAAACCAGTTAAGCTCAGCGAGTTGAATAGTTGGAAGCTCTTCCTATTGGAGGTGAAAGATTGGCATTCATTGTGAATTACGTGTTCAATTCCACTGCAGTCACATAACCAGCAAAGATTCATAATGTCTGGGAGCAAAGAGAAAAAAAATTCTTAAGAAAAAAAAATTATTCTCACAAAGCTACAGTAGAAGCTTTGAGCACCGACAGTACAAATGATGTGTTCAGTGTTGAATCCATTATTTTTCTAACAGCTACATGTTGTGGAAAGTTATTCCAGTTATTAAGAGTGCATCATGATGTATTAGCACAGCTGAAGAACATGTTTTTTTAATAAATAGGTCAACCATTTTCATAAGTGTGCAATAAAACAGCAAAGAACATACCAGGCTCTCAGTAATCAAGGAAAAGAAGAGTAATCTGATTGCCTTTTCCATTATTTTTTTTTTGTGGGGGGGAGGGGACATTTTATCCACTGAGTGTATGAGTATTTGCTTTTAAAAAAAGGTTTTTTAGAGTTTACAATAGAATCAATGGAAGGAAAAGTTAATAAGGGCTGTTTTTAAACATTTTACATTCCTTCCTATTCTCTAACTACACTTGGGAAGTGCACTTTAGAGATGTTTGCTGTGTAGCTGGGAGATGAAGGAAAACTATATGAAATGTTCTCTTAGCAAATAAAGTTTAGTTATCTACTCTCTTGCTTTGAAATATCCCTTGATAATTATATCCATTATAAAACCATTTAATCACAGCTGCTTAGGTATGTATTTTTTTAAATAATATATTATGGTTTGTGAAATTTGATGGGGTGGGAGGGAAGAGAGAAGAAAACCCTACTGGTTAAGCAGTTTACAATATATTTATTGAGATGTAAAGCTCAAATATTTTGCAAGAATATTTGTTTTGATAGTGTTTTACTCTGACGGGGACTGAGGATCCTAAAATGATCTGTGCAAATACAAAAAAAGCACCAAAAATGCAAAATTCTTCAGCTCATTTGTGTTTCCAAAAGCTGTTTTCCC